AGATAGCCCTCGTGTAGCTTTGCGCGAAATTCCAAAAACAAAACAAACAAACACTTTATTTGATTTTTTTACAGAGATAGCTTTAAAATCGTAGAATGGACGTAGTAATAAAGTGGGTTTGTTTGACACACATGGTCAGTTACTTAAAAACTAAAGGTTTTAATGCATATTTCTACAAGCGACAGCCGATAACCATGTTTATTTTAAGTTGACCGAACCAAGGATGTACTGATCTAGATATTCGTACAAGTTCGTTTGTCATTGCAGCATTTACAGTTGATGAAGTACTTCAAATATATGCTACGATATAATTCAGTATTTCACGTACCAAATATTTTTTAAAACGTTTCTCGCAATCTGAGGGTCGCGGGTTCGAATCCCCGTCACCGAACATGCTCGTTCTTTCAGCCGCGGAGTGTTATAATGTGACGGTCAATCTCATTATTTGTTGATAAAAGAGTAGCCCAAGAGTTGGCGGTGGATGGTGTTGACTAGCTGCCTTCCCTTCTTGCCTACCATTGCTAAATTAGGGACGGTTAGCGCAGATAGACCTCGTGTAGCTTTGCGCGAAATTCCAAACAAACCAAACCAAATTTTAACGTTTCCACAAACCATCACCAGGGAAATTAAGCTACAAAAATCAACTGTAAACTCGTGTTTCGAGTCAAACATTATATGTAGATGAGAACTTATTTCTAGGCTTGCTTTAGTACTAATCAGTACAATAAGAATATTAACATGGTTATTAAATGGGTAATACTCATTCACTTGGTAATAAAAAATCTCACTTTTTTAATCAATCGTTTTTTTTCTTTTTAGGATTTTTTTTTGTGTTTTTCTTTGACAAATCAGCAGGACAGTGTTCTCCAGTAACGAAAGTAGCAACAGAAAATATCCAGCAATAGTTTTTTTTTAGAATGAACAGCAATAACTTAGAATTTACTGAAATCATTCCAGCTGATTCTTTAAAGTTATAAAAACAAAGCTACTTTAAAAGTATTAATGTATCTTGTATGTCAGGAATGGGTGACAGCCACAGACATACGGATTTCTTTGAATCGGATGAATACATTTGGCGACGAGATATTTGGCGACCCTAAAGTTCTGAAGTCATACTACTACGCCATTACAGATTTTGCAGTAGGAGGAAGGTTAGTAAATATTATCTGTGAACAGTGTAACATTTTTGTTTGTATGACAACGGTCACTGTTGTCAGTTGCATACGTTACGTTAAAACATGTAGATGTAACGTTATATTAAAAGTACATGAAAAACCACTTACATTATTTGGAGGGTTTTTGTTACGCTGCTACGTACTGTTTAGTGTGGTAATGAGAAATGGAAGTGGTTAATGATCCTTACTGGAATGTTTGTTTCTGTGTGTATTGGAGGAAGTAATTTATGAACGTGAATATGACACAAATACCAGATGTAGGTTCTCAAGTTTAAACCTTTAAGTACGTTTTCATATTTGATCCCCCCCCCCCCCAGTGGCACAGCGGTATATTTGCTGATTTACAACGCTAGAAACTGGGTTTCGATACCCATGGTGTGGGCAGAGCATAGATGGCCCTTTGTATAACTTTGTGCTTAACTACAAACGAACAAACATATTAGATATATACGTTACTCTTTGCTTCAGTTGATAGATTTTGACCACTTTGTTTTTTTCTCTGTAGCATCTGTATTAATTAATTTATTTATGCTTACATCTTTCAAACGTTTTCTTCTTCTTCAACTGTGATACTTATCTACATAAGAAAAAAAAAATCGTGAGTTTACAGTTAACTGATATTGTCAATACGATTTATGTCCGTAGGTTTACCGAGTCATGATTCATCTTGTTTTAACTAGTTTGAATGATCACTCAGAACTAATGTTTCTATCACTTTAGGTGTAAGTGTAACGGGCATGCCAGCGTGTGTTTCGTCACTGGTGAGAGTCACGGAAAACAAATTCTAGCGTGCCAGTGTGAGCACAATACTACCGGACCTGATTGTAATGAGTGTCTACCTTTTTATAACGACCTGCCCTGGGCTAGAGCCACTGCAGCCAATGCCAACGAATGCCAACGTAAGTGTATATAGAAATGTAATGTAATCTGCTGCTGTTTCGTCAGTTAATTTGCTATTCCATAAAAAAAAAGTGGTTAATGTATGTATAGCTCCAACATTGTTCCATTAATTTAGAAGTTACAAACGAATTAATTTCAAGTTCCATCAAATATTACATTTATTTATATTGACGATAAAATCTGTTTGTTGCGTGGTTTGTTAATTTTGCTGGAGAATTTCAATTTACAGGTGTTTAGTTTACTCGTATGGAATTACAGGTACTTCAAGACACAGGTATTATTTATACTCGATATCATGATTTGGAACTATCTGACACAAACTAATGTATAACAAAAATAAAAGTGGTTTCACAGCTCTATTGTTAATATTGTGCTGCATACATTCCAAAAGTATCTCAATCCGACTTCTAGAGAGAGATTCTGATAACAGACTTAAGAGTACAGCTTACAGTCAATATCATAAGGAAGCTGAGAAACTGACGTGAAAAGTACATTGACCTTTATGTTGAACTGGATTGATAATGGAGCTGTATACTGAGGAGTATCATAACTCAGATTCGCATGCCCACAGAGCTGTTTTAAGTCAAACAGAAATAGTCCTAATTTGTATTATATAAAAGAAAGGTAAAAACAACAACATGTAACCCAATATTATTTGTACCAATCCCAATACGGTAAGCAATCTTGTTATAATCTAAATGCTAGAGAGTGCATATAGTCTATTTTAAAATATCTTTATAGGCCTTATAGCATATATAAATTATTCAAAAATGATAGCGATCATAGATGCATCTGGTTTATTTTAAAATGATATATTTAAAAAACTTTATAGCGCATACAGTTTATTTTTAAATTATACCTATTTATAGGTCTTATAATGCATGTAGTTTATTCTAAGATGATATATTAAGTAGGCCTTAACGCATATTTCACTCTTAACTGATGAACATACTACTGTGATATCATTTCAACCCTTCACCGGTTAAAGGAATGGACTTTTTGTTCTGTCGGAGTAAGAGCAGAAACCATTGTCTGTTATACAGTACGTACAACAGTAAGTAACCACATAGGAATCTAAGTAAAATAAATGAATTCCACCACTCACCGAATATAGCTGATCTTCTGCAGTGTATAACACACATTGTTAACAACATATTGCAGTACTCACGAACCAGTATATTATCCTCAGCGAAGAGATGTCACTACCACCAAGAGTCTCCAAGTGGGATCACGGAACTTCTGAGGATCATTACAGGAATGTGGAGCCATTCTTTTCGGGGATTTAGTGAGTTTAAAAGAACGTGTGTCTTTTTTGGTATCCAGGCATGGGCGCCCGTAAAAGGAAAGATGGAGCATTTGCTCCCCATATATTTCACAAAAATTGCACGTATTATGATGTAAACTTAGTTTACAAATTCCTTCAGATTCAGTTATACAATAGATATCCTGGAAAATGTGTTTTGGCATTTTTTTTCGAAAATAGTCAGTGTTCTATATTTCTAATCTCTAGATTTAATTGACAAAGAATTTGGCATTATTAAATGTATGTTGACTTATTATCCAAGCTGTCATGATTTATGTCGTGTAAGGTGATTAAAAAAAATTAATGTTTATGACTCAAGTTCTTGTTTTTGTTTTCTAGCATGTAACTGCAATGGCAGATCCGAAAAGTGCTACTTCGACAGACAGCTGTACGAACGCACCGGACATGGTGGACATTGTACAGAATGTAGGGATCACACTGCTGGCCCACACTGTGAACGATGTAAAGAAAACTTTTACGAGAGAGAGGATGGAAGATGTGTCCCATGTAATTGCGACCCAACAGGTACATCACTGCAGAGTTAACAAAACGCTGTATACGTTATATTTACTGTTCTAGACATTTTTCTTTGTAACATTCATGGTAGTAAAAACCTTTCTCTTTTCTTATGTTTTTCTTTAAAACATTTTTCAGTGTTCACATAATTATAACAAAACTCATTTATTGCTAACAAACATACATTCTTATTTTCGATAATTCTTCTTAATAACTTGAACTGTTTTCGGCTATTTAAAATACCGAGAGATGAAAGAGGCACAGTACTAATAAAAACAAACTTATAAACCCACAATATAGATTTTTTTTAGTGCTGCTGGGAGTGTCTTAGTGGTTATCATATCAGATTGAGGATCGAAGGATCCAAGACTCAAGACGTGATGCCACTGAACATGCTCTGTGGGTCCTTTTTAAAAATGATAATCAATCCTGTTGTTCAGTTCAAAGAGCCGGGCAAAGTCCTTGTGACAGCCGATGGTGGTGGTTGGGTGCTCTCCCTATGGTCAGTAGATCAAAGTTAGGGACTGTTATATCTGGACCCCTAGAGATCTCCGATTTGGCTGTGTAGCTCATTTGCACATAAGGTGCTGTTCAAGTTTAAAATTCCAGTTCCATTAATGCATAAATGCAATACTTCTTAATATAACTGAAATTTTCTTTCATCTTGCTGAAAGTATTATTTATTTATTTTCATCGGTAAATTGTTATAAGTTGATATATTTTCACGTTTGTATGAAACAAAAACCCAACAAAAAACAGTTAATGGTTAATAGTTAATCTCTCAGTTACAATGTAGAAAAAATGAAACTTGAACATGCAAAGCAAGGCAAAGGTTTGTTATGTTAATAATAAAATGATACTCTCTCTCGATTGGCATATTAAAATATTTTGATAATGAAGAAAAAATCCCGTTAAAAAGCATACATCTTTAACATGAGAGGAGTAGTAACTTAATTTCAGAGAAGCTAGGTTGTATGTTATAATAAGATACAGTTCCAGCTTTTCTGTAGTGCACATACACAAATTTGTGGAATGTATACCTTAACATTTAAGTGTTAAAACTCATTATAAAATAAAGATTTAAATTAAATTTGGAAGAGTGAACTTAATACTTAATGATTTCATATCATTCATTAAATATTGGTATTGCATTTTATATTCAATAAAATTATTAAACTAAAATCATAGAGACTTTGCTGAGTTTTGCTTAATATTTATATTAACTTAGATGAATGTGAAATGAATACATTTAATATAAAATAGGAATAAGCATCTAGACAAAGGCTAATGAGAGAAAAACAAAATAAACAACACTCTAACTTCCATTGCACATCATGATTTCATTTATTTATATTATGACATCCTTAGACTAGACAATTAATATAAAGTAATAGAAAAAGACAGAGGTGGAACTAGTTTTCCAAAAAGCCAGTTTTTCCCCATTTATATTGTTATTATAGCAGAATACATCTGTAATTTCTCATTTTGATTAAATGTTTCTATATAGACATTATAAACTTCTGAGTATACTTGTAATTTAAAGATTTATATTTTTGTAGGTTCTCGAGGTCTGCAATGCAACCGGCAGGGTCAGTGTCAATGTAAACCTGGGGTTGATGGGGAAAGGTGTGATCGTTGTTCATCTAATTATTATGACTTTACTTCACAAGGATGCAGGTATGGATCTTAACTGATAACGATGCTCTAAGCTATATGAAAAGAATCTTGGATAGTATTTTTCAATATGCTAGAAAAACAATGCTATATATATTCCATTTGGAAATGTAAAAGATACTTTTTATATTTCTCTTGGTCATAGTCAAACTCAAGCAAGTGTTCTACCATCAAAGCTGAATGGTTAACTTGCTAAAAATAAGTTTGAACAATTTAAACTACAACACTTGCGTATAAGAGTTAAAGCAAACTGTGGTGGCAAAATTTCAGTTGGTGACAATAATAAGAGGGAAAAATAGTTATTCTTGATTTATAATATTTCGGATGACAGACTGATTTATAGTACTCCTGATTCCTTTGAATATAAGAGTTTAAATATTATAACTATTTTATCTATAATCAAACGTAATCATTTTGCTTGCCAGAAATAGATTTGGTGAGAGTAAGTGTTTTCTTATGTAAAAGTTTAGTTCAAAATAAGACTAAGTTATATTTATTTAAAGGATAAATTATATTAATATATTTTTCAAGTTTAAAGAAAACGTATGTTAAAACTGCAGTTCAAAATAAAAAAAAATAATAAAAATTTACACTTTATATTTTTCATGTTAAGGTTTTAAAGTTGAAAGTACTTAAGATTTTTGATAATTCTAATTCAAAATGTTGTTGGATTTATTGATACATTAAATGAAAAGATTATCCCTTTTTTTACAAACAAAAATTTAAATTATATTTCATAAAACAAAAACATTGTGAGATTGTAGTTCTTTTATACTGCCCAAGTGGAATTTCTAACTCCTCTCTCAAATACTACAATTTGCAGGCCTTGTGGTTGTAATGTAGCAGGAAGTGTAAACAGCAAGCCAAGCTGTGATGCTGTGACAGGAACATGTAGGTGCAAGGATAATGTGGAAGGACAACGTTGTGATAGGTGAATTTTTGCTCTTCAAGTTTCTTCTGAAAGAATTTTGTGTGTAATATCTGTGATTTCATATGCTATTTCATAATTTCAAAGTATTCATAATTGATCTACAATAAACTCTAATTTGCCTGTTTTACGTGTGAATATGTGCAATAAAGTATTTGTTATATTCTGTGCAACATATTTCTCTTAAAACTTAGAGTAAAATCACTTGTAACTTTGTACTCTATATCATTATGAGCATGTTTGTATAAATACTGTTACTGTTGTAAACAGGAGTGGATTGGGGATTAAAAAAGTATTTTAAATATTCTGTTCCTCCAGTGAGGTCAGGAGAGAGGGATTCTTGAAAACTGTGTGTGGGTGTGTGTGTGTGTGCTGTAATTAATGCTGCACAGCTTATAATATGTACTAATTATATTCATACATTTCATAAATGAAATATGAATATTAGGTCGTCAAGAATTTAATGTCGCTTTTGTTTAGATGAAAAACCCAAACAACTTGTATATCAAAACAAAACATTTATTTAATGAAATAGTCTCGATTCTTATTGATGATGCTTTTCCATCTAACATCAGGTTATTAATGCCCTAATTAAAGAAATCACTTGGCTTTGAAGCAAAAAACATGTCAATGTCCTATTTAACACTTTCCACATTTGCATACATTTTCCCATTAAGATGGTGTTGCAGCAAATGAAAAAGATGGTAATCTGATGGTGCCATATCTGTAGAATAATTCCCAACACAACTCCATAATTTGGTGTTGCGTCAAAAATACCACATGTGGATGTGCAATGTCTCAGAGAAGAAGAACACCTTTCTGATTGACGAGTGAAGGGTGCTTCTGATGAAAGGCTTGATTTAAATGTTCCAGTTGCTGACTATAGATCTCTGCATTGACAGTTCACTGTGGATTAAGGAGTTCGAAATGAATTACTCCTTTGATGTCCCACCAAATGCAAAGCATCACTTTCTGCAGATGGAGTCCAGGTTTTTGAGTCGAAAGTGGTTTTTGTCTAGGACTGAGCCATTGTTTTTGCCATTTAATATTTGCATAGAGAGTCCATTTTCTATCACGTGTGACAATTTTGTCCAAAAATGGTTCATGAGCATTATGCACCAGAAGAGACGAAGCAACATTCACACGTTGGAAACAATGATCATCAGAGAGTTCATGAGACACTCAAACACCTTCTTTATGGAGTTTTCCCATATTACTTAGATGTTTACATATTGTTTCATGAGAGACATGCAATTTCAGGTCCATTTCATGAGTGTGTTGCCTTGCGTTAGACTCAACAAGCATCTTCAGAGCATCAATATAGATTCCAACATGTCGGCCCCTGCCATCACAGTTTTTAAGGCTAAAGTCACCGGAACGAAATTTTCTGAACCATTGTTGACACTTATGAACATTCAAAACATTTCCATAAACTTCTTTGATATTCTTTGTGGCTACAGAGGTGTTGTTTCCCTTCTTGTATTCAAACAGCATTACATGCCGATTTTGTGTGTGTGTGTGTGTATCTCGTCACGTGCCATCAGTATTAGGAATTAGAGTATACTAAACTTTACACTAACATGATGTTTAGGTGAGTCGTTTAACTATTATACATGATGTACGTTTTTTGGGGAGTGGTTAATGAAAGTGTTCCAAAATGTGACATTAATTTCTTGACGACCTAATACATAGAGCAAAGTTTTTGATTTACAATCCAATTTTGATAACCTGAAGCTAATTCACACAAAAACAATTTATAAACAATAGTGTAATTACCCATTTAGTACTCATTCATGCTACATCTATATCCTGCTATGAGATATTAATGAGAATATAGGCACCAGATTAAGCCCTATTTAAATAATGCGAGAAAAAAAACAACTTTTTTTATTTTTGATGGACCAAATATCCACATGAAATTTTCCCAGTGTTTCAGCTGCCCAATTTACTCCTGTTTATAAGAAATGAGATTGGTATAAAGCATTCAGAGTGAGTGTGGGTACAAAGTTTCTTGTATTATTGATTACTTCTTTCAACAAAATAATATTACTATAATTTTATTTTTTTATAAAATCATTTAAAAATACTAAATGTTTTACTATTAAAACAAGGATAACTCCTTCTTTTATCTTTCTTCCACGTAGGTGTAAACCTGGATTTTTCAGCTTACAAGAAGAGAATGAATTTGGGTGCCTTCCTTGCTTCTGCTATGGTCACTCTTCAGTGTGTAGAAGTGCCCCTGGTTATTCTAAAGTTGCTATTGAAAGCACTTTTACCAGAGGCAAGGACACATATTTTTAATGATGCTTCTCATTGTCACAGCTTCTAGCTTCAACTGTGCAAATGATAATAAAAAAACTTTTATATATATATATTTAATGAATTATGGCCGTACAGGAGAAGAAGTACAGTTTGCTTTTGTGTGTGTGTGCATACAATAAGTTTCTGTCGGAGCCTGTTCATTAGTTATTATGAATTATGATGCAACATTTTACTCTTGTTGGGTTTGTTTGGAGGAGTTACAAGTAAGACTTGCATCAATAAGCCAACCTTAATTTCTATTGAGTGAAAATCAATTATATTCATAAGATAAGCAAATAAAAGCTATAGAACCAAATACACTTTAACCACTTGATATTTGTTTTTTTGGAAATTCCTTGTAATGTTTATTATGACATCTAAACATCCTTTTGGAAATAATTTTGAAATTTTTATCTCTGTTGACATTTTTCTGATAGGGAATGAAAATTGGAAAGCTCAACTTAAGTCGGGCAGAGAGATATCTTTTCAATTCAATCCTATAATCCAGAACATTGGTGTGGATTCACCAGGAAGAGATCCAGTCTACTTTGTTGCTCCTGGTAAGAAACTGAATCTATAAAATAAAGCATTACAAATGTTTCATTGATAATTAACTAAGTACAATCTTGTTTAATGCCATGAATAATTCACCCACACAATTGCATGTTGAGGGGGGTACATATTTATATTTCACCTGTTAATGAGGTGTCCCTAAAGCCAAAATCATTAATGAGTTGTACTCTTAGTTTTTTTATAACTTTTGCTATTAATGTAAATCTTTCATGAAATGATGTATCCTCATGTTAAAATTGTAAAGAAGCTTGTCCATGTTTTGGTTTTATATGTATTAGTATCAAGTGTTCTTAGTGGCATTCCCCAGTAAGTCGGTGGTAAATTTATGGACTTGCAATGCAAAAATTAGGGGTTTAATTTCTCTCCATGAACAGAATGCAGACAACTTATTGTGTAGTTTCACACTAAAAAAAGAACAACAAAAACAATACTCATTTGTGGCTTTTACCTTGGGGAAAAATGTGGACAATGGGGGACCCACCTAGCTTAAATTTATAAAAAAAGAATGTACCTATATAAAATTTCGAGTAAACAGAATTGGCATAAATTTCCCCCTACTTAAATATATATATAAATAAAAACACATATAATAATTGTATAAACAAAATAGCCACTGCTTGTTATGTTTGTTTATTTATTATAGTCTTAAAAAAGTCTTGAGTGCTCAGCTGCACTTGCCTTGTCTCAGGTACTACAATATAAGTTTGTAGAAGCCTAGTTGTAGACATCTAGCTGCCTAGTACAGGTGTCCTACTTGCACTGAATCCACTGCCAACTTTCATACCCTGCATGTGAGCAAACTGTTAGTGTATGCTTGTTATGCATGCACTGGATGTCATTTGGAGACTGCTTCATTTGTACCTGTGTAACATGTTGTGGTGTTACAGTTACTGAAGTGATAGTTTTGCTGTTATTGACAAAGTTTAATTGGTGTTTTGACCCTAATATTGAATGGGGGGGGGGTGTTTATTACAAAATAAGCTCAGTACGTTATCGTTATTGTCTTTGTGTTTAATTAAACTGCGAGTTGTGTTGTATTCACAACAAAAATGTATCTTCAGAGAATTTACAGTTTCATAATAATAAATCCTCCTTAGAATTTGCCATTCCAAGTAGCCAAATTGTGAGACCTTGGTGAGATTATTAAATCGAAAGCAAGTGAACTGTGTTAAATAAGTTTTCAGGTAGTATGAAGCTTTATATTTTAAATAATAAAATATGTTTAAATTGAATTGTCAAACTTAAAGCAACAAGTTGTAGATAATATATTAAATACAACACTTGAGGTGCTTAACTATAATTTTTTATCGTTTGCCAATTAGTAGAATCACTATAAATTTATGTAGTCATTAAGTGGTCAAATTATTTCAAAAATGGTGCAGTTTTTGAAATTAATTATTTAAACAGGACTGCATGAATTAACTATCTGATAAAATTGCAGGTTAATGTATATATAAATGATAGGTTGAAACCTAAGACATTTACTTGAAAAGAATTGAGGAGCTTTTAATTATTTTATAGAATTTGCTTGATTTTGTTTCACTGCCTTTATTACTTACGTAGTTAGAAAGTTGAAACATTTCTGATTTTATCTCATGTAAATTATAGGATTTTCAGATACAAGTATAATTACAAAAAATTATTTCTTGTTTGGTGTCAGATCGATTTTTGGGTGACCAGAGAAGCTCATATAATCAGTTTCTTAGTTTCACTCTGAGAATTGGTGATGGCACGCCTCGAGCAACAGTAGAAGATATTATCATAGAAGGGTCAGGACTTACAATATCACAACCAATTTTTGGTCAAGGAAATCCATTACCAGCTGTTAAGAACCAGGACTACAAATTTCGGCTTCATGAACATTCCATTTATGGCTGGAACCCTCGGCTGAATGCACATGACTTTATTAGTGTTCTGTCAAATCTAACAAATGTGAAGATCAAAGGGTCATACTCTGTACAAGGTAATATATATATATATATGCATTCATTTATAGAGGGTATTTTGAGTTAACTACTATATCTAATGACAAAGTTACATACTTAAACTTTCTACATTAGATTTTAGTGGATTAAAAATCGTCTGTAATATCCATAGTAAAAGGTATATACATGTTAGGTTAAACCAGCATTATTTCTTTTATTATCTTAAATATGATTACCTCTGTTTGAATGTATATGTAGTAGCATGCTGATACCCTATAAAAATATTAATTTGTGAGTAGAAAATGATTTGTTTTCAACAACATATTAAACCATCTCTTTTCTAGTTCTAGTATCTAGTAAAAGATTTTACTTATTTTTTACTGCTAATGAATTACTAGCCAGTTGCAAAATTTTCTTAATAAAGTTTTTACAGCTTTTTTGTTAAAGCAGGAGTTAAAATTATTGTTAAGAGAAAATTATTGAATGAATTGTATAAAGTTACTCTAATTTTAAGTTTACAATGGTTTTATAAAGAGGCAAATAAAAGTATTATTTTGGATTAAAAAATAATAATTAACAAAATAATCACACAACAGGAGACAATGTTTGCTGGTTTACAAAACAATGACTTTTATTAAATATAAACTACTTTGGGCTGTTTCTCCAGGAACTGGATTTCTGGATAATATTCAGCTTGACTCAGCTTATCGTTCTCCAATTGGATTTGAGGCTACTTGGATAGAGATGTGTACTTGCCCCGAAGGCTATGTTGGCCAGTTTTGTGAGTCCTGTGGACCAGGATTCCGACATGATCCACCTGGTGGTGGAGAGTTTGCACGTTGTGTTCCATGTAACTGTAACAATCATGCTGAATATTGTGATTCTGAATCGGGTAAATCAACATTTGGATTTTTTTTTTCAGAATTTGAGCAAGAAACAGTTTATCCTTAAAAAATTAACTCTTGCTTCACAGGGTTGAAAAATTCCAATCCTTTACAGAAAACAGTCCATACTTCTAAAAAAGTATGCTCATTATTTATTGACTATAATACAGTTGTCATGAAAAGTTCAATTTTGTAGAAATTCAGCAGTTAACATTTGCTAAAAAAAATCATTAATCACTTTTTCAAAACTCAAAATAGAAATAAGAGTTTATTACCTTTACTTGAAAAGTTCTCCTTTATTGTACAAAATATTTTAAGTAACAAACAGTAGAGCACTTTAACATATCCTTTGCAAACAAACATTTTCAAAGTAATATATTAATTCGCCCTCAGTGGAAAGGTAGAGAGTATTTTGATTTATTACAAAATGAAACTTAGTTATATGAAAACAGATTTATATTATTTAAGGCTGGGAAATGTATAGTGTACTTTTTCTGTCAGTCAGTATTATGGTTTCAAGTAGTTCAATGGGAAACAAAAAAAAAGCAGTCTCGTCGACCAATATTCTAAATAAAACTTCATTTCAGTTTATTATTATCTTTTTTTAATGAAAGTGGGTCTTATTTTGTGTTTATGTTCAGATATCGGTTCAAACAAGTAATTCATCTTTTGTAGGACGCTGCATTTGTGAACACAATACTGCAGGTGACAACTGTGAACACTGTGCTAGTGGTTATTATGGAAATGCTCTACATGGTTCCCTTGACGATTGCCAACCATGTCCTTGTCCAAACAATGGAGCCTGTGTGATCCTACCTAATGAGCAAGTGGCATGTTTGCAGTGTCCAACGGGATATGCTGGTTAGTACTGGAATAATACACATGTTGCTTTAATAATTCAGTTTATAAAGATATGTGATTCATCCATTTACAGCAAGGCATGTTTTTAAATTATATAAAAATAGTAAAGTTATCTAACGCTGTACTCCAGAGAAACTTTATTGTAGTGTACTTGTACCTAGACATTATCTGAGTTAGGTGTTTCAAAATACCAGACACCACCTACATCAGTTTTGGTTAACACATTATTCTTATGAATATTATGTAAACTAGTTAATATAATTCTAAATTACAGAATTTATTACAGAATTATTTAAAAGATAATGTTTTCTGTTTACCAAGTTTGTGAAAACTGTTTACTTGGTTTTTTATAAAATTTGTCTTAACAGCTATGCATTTTTGTTAGATGTTTTAGCCTGTGCTATGAAATTATTTAGAAATTTCAGTTGATTAATTAATTAACTTAATTAATTAAACTTAAGTTGTTCCAGGAGGATTCACAGTTGTTTGAGTTTGTTTTCATTACTGAGTTTGTTAGCTTCTCAGGAGAATTATGTATATGTAAGTGAGAACAGGAACTGAACCTTAGGGCCTTTTTGTATTAGTAAAGCCTGTCGCTGAAAACAAAAAAAGCTTGTATGCTTTATAGATTCTTACCAGCCATGAACAAACATTAAGCTTTAAAAAGACTGATGTATGTCAAGGTTAATAATCTTTTCTTTTTTTGGTATTTAGTCATCTAGCAGATTTTTCTTTAACAGTTAAAACAATTTACTCCTTTCTTATAACATTTGATAGTGGTTTATTTACGTGAGGAGTTAAAGGTTCTAGTTGTCTATTCTAAGAGTAATGATAATGTTTTAACTAATGTTACAATTAAATATACTAACTGAAATACATGTTCACACGGGGAAGACATAGGGTGGGTTAAATTCAAATGTTGTATTTTTCCCTGGTGTCCTAAGGGTATATGCCAGGTTTGGTGACAGTCTGTCCATCAGTTTGCCAGTTATAAGCTGGCACAAAACAGACTTCTATCAAATAATAGTTTAGATAATACTTAAAATAGCTAAACATTTCTAAAATAGCCTTTGGGTACCACCAGATACTACATATGTTAAATTCAGTCAATAATAGTGTAACAGAGTAATTAAATGTGGTACTTAGTTTAGTGTTCAAGAAGTTGTTCATACATTTTCTACTTATAAGTAAACAGATGCATGAAAATTTTTTATGACAACCTCTTAATTTTCAGGGCACAGGTGTGATCTTTGTGTTGATGGCTACTTTGGTGATCCAAATGGACATTATGGCATTTCCAAACCCTGTAAGAGCTGTGAATGTAATGGAAATATAGATTTGAATGCTGTAGGGAACTGTAATATGTAAGTTAACTTTGGTAACAAACAAAAGTTGCCCAAGTTGATTAGATACAAGAGAGTTTTATCATAAAGTGTAGTTGAACAACATATTTTTGTTAGAGATTCTCCAATAATATTTTGATAAGTAATCTGCCTTTTTTATATGAAACTGAAAGTAAAATACTTTAGTGGATTAACAGAATAACTTTTTTATGTAATGCTCTGTGTAAATAGATTTTCAAGAAGAGTTTTACTCTTTTTCTGGAGTGGAATATATTAGACCAGGCTAAAAGAACACATGCCATATCTGGTGTGATGTCACATTTACAGAGTTTGAACAATGTTTGTTTATATATATATATATATATTTTTCATTTAAGATTAATTGAGTTCAAAAACTATATAATCTGTATATCGATGAACATAAATCACAGTGCTGTGTACTGATAAGAGCAAGATATTCATTGAATCTAGGACAAAAATTAATATTTTTTTACTTGCCCTTTACTCTTACAAATATATTTACTAGACACATGATAATATGTGGTAATAACACCTTTAAAAATACAAAATAGTCCATTTTGCTCTCGTGAATTGTGTTTATAAACTCCAACGTCGATTCCTTTATTATTAGGAAAACTGGTGAGTGTTTAAAGTGTATATACAACACAGGAGGGTCCCAGTGTGACACTTGTCTTCCTGGTTACTATGGTGATGCCCTGGCAATGCCTAAAGGGGACTGCAAAGGTAAGCAAATTTTTCTGTGACAATTTTAAATAAATGAAAAAGAAGTGAATAAGATAGATTGTCTAGAACTATTATGCAAAGCTATCATAATGGAACTGAAAAATGTATTGATATAACTAACCACTTTCTTACTGCTAGGCTTTGTATACCAACTTGTAACTCGATGTTTGTACGTTAGAGTTTATCTAGTGAAAGTACAATGCAGTCATTTAACAAAGTTTAAATTTTGTTGGATAATCAACATGTTTTCAATAGGAAAAAGCTCACCTTACTAATTCTTTGAAGAGGTTTACATATGTAAGGGTACGGGTGTGGATTTGGTGTATCTGTATTTTTAGCCAGCATTTTACAAGGTGCCACATAAAAGAATTGTTGAAAAAATTATATCTGTAGGTATAGGGGATAGGTTAGCTCATTGGATAGAAAACTGGCTAGATGGAAGAAAGTAGATGATCATTATAAATGGAGTTTAGTTTTAGGATCATTGCTCGTTTTGATTTACATCAATGACATAGGTGAAGGAATTGTCAATAGATTATTTAAATTTCCTGAAGACGTTAAACTTTTGGGTGTTGTTAGCTGTGAGGAGGATGCAACTGCTTTACAAAAGGATTTGGATTATTTAGTGAGTTGGGTGAATAAATGATAGATGACTTTTAATTATAATACATGCAAGGTAATGTATGTGTGATATCACAATTTGAATTATGGGTATAAATTTGAATGGGAATAACCTTAACAGTATGATAGAAGAAAAAAGATCACAGTATTCTGGTTCATCAGCTCTTAAGCCATCCAAGCAATGTGCTCTTGCTAGTGGCAGAGCAAACAAGATTTTAGGTTGAAAACACAGAAATATTCAATACAAGTTTAAACAGGTTATAATGTCATTTTATAGGTCATTGGTTAGGCTGCATTTTGAGTGGTGTGTTCAGTTTTGGGCTCCTTACTTTAGAAAGGACAGTGAATTGGTTGAAAGGGTTCAGAGGAAGGTTACTAGGATGATACCTGGGATGGAAAGGTTGTTATACGAGGACAGGTTAAGATCTCTGATATTGTTTTTTCTTGGAAAAAAAAAAAGAATTAGAGAGGATCTGATTGAAATATTTAAGATCGTTAAAGGAATTGATAGTATTGATGCTTCATCATTTTTTGTTTAATGGTGAGAATGGTAAGACTAGGGACAAAAATATAAATTTTGGCAGGGTAGGAGTCATTGATCTTCTGCTTAGACAGCTTTATTTTTCTAAAAGGGTGGTTAGCCTTCTGTATTTGATGTGTGCAGTTAATTTAAGGGAGTTTAAGTAAAAGCTTGATAAATATTTGAATGATAAGGGTTGGTTTTGAATTTTTTAGCATTTAGTTTAATTTAGATAATTGGACTTCCTAGATGGACCAAAAGGTCCCTTGTATTTAATGCTATTTTATTCAAAAGAGCATTTTCAGAAACAGAGATGTTTATTTTTCTTAAATTAAAATATTTTGTATAAAGAAATTAAGTAAAATGCAAGATGAATTTAATTGTGAATAACAATAAAAAAAAAAAAACACTAGTATAGCACTAAACACTGTTTTCTATATTTTGTAGGTACAAGTATTTAGAAAATACTGATTTAATCCATGACAAATCTAACAAATTTGGAATTCTTTTCATTCATTTAAAAGATAAAAATGAAATTATTCTTTAAGAGCAGTTTTACATGAGTTTACCAATTAATTACAGGCTTCAAATATGAAGAGTGTATAGTAGAATATTAAAATAAATCTAGTTTTTGTAAGCTGATGCTAATTGGACATGATACTTAATACCAGACTTGGTGGGTTAGAACATACTATACACTCTTCTTACGGGAAACATAGGTGAGTCTAAAACATTGAACTGATAAATTATTATCAGTTTCATTGGTGTGTAATATTTCACTCATATTTCTAGTACATGTTAGTAAAGAACTATTGTCTGGTAGAGAAAGGCAAGCAAAAGCCTTCAAATATGTGAATGAACAACTATATCTTTATTGAAACAAGTTAGCAGGAGATTTCTAACCTGTTAATATACAAGCGTGCATTTGATGTATGGACTATTTACTATAAGCCAGAAAGTTGTAATGCTTTTTAAAGAAAGAAGAAGAGGTCTGAGAGTTATATTGTGCCTTATAAAGAAAGGTCTATATAAACATTCTATCATATGTGTAGACTTGTACATACCTGATGGAATTAAGCCTAAAAGTCTTCCTGAAATTTAGAAAAGTTAGCAAAAGCAATGTTAACAGTTAATATTAACTACTTAAGTCAATTTCTAAGAGATTTATCCTTTTAATTATAAACCATAGTACTGTGATCTTCGCATTTTACAAGGTTCTTCTTTATTTCAGTATTCTAAATGTTTTGTAACATACTAATGTTTATTTTAGTACTTCATGATTGGAATTAGAAAGATACCCAGATTCTGTTTTCATTTTCTAACCCCTGAGACTTATCCTGTACATAAATGTTTTTATTTTGTAATGGATTAAATGAATAACTAAAAGTGTTTTATTATTTATATTCATTAAAGCTTGCAACTGTTATCCACCTGGGACACTACCTGAAGCAGTTGATAATGGGATTTTGACATGTGACCTCGGAAGTGGTCGATGTCATTGCCAACCACATGTCAGCGGACGTCAGTGTGACCAGTGTGACGATGGCTACTGGAATCTTGATAGTGGGAATGGGTGTGAGCTCTGTAACTGTGATCCAATTGGAGCATTCAATAGAACGTGTAATGTGAGAACTGGGCAATGTTTCTGTAGGCCAGGAATTAATGGGAAGAGATGTGATATGTGCTTACCTAATCACTATGGTTATTCTTTGGAAGGTTGTAGAGGTAAGTATTCATAAGTTAACATCATCATTCATATAAAATGTTTCCCAAACCTTAACTGTTCTTCAAGAAAAATACATAACTTCTTGTAATGACAAAATTAACTGATGAGATAACCTAAAACATACACACACAGATATATGTTTTTTACTCTCTCTCTCTTTAAGATTACATCTAATTATATGTATTTACTATTAAATGTATCAGGATTCTCAAATAAGTTACAAAGAAATAATATTTTGGATAACCATTGATTAAATATTGTAAAAACTGGGAAAATAAACATTTATAACATATCAGTTATAGAATAATGCATGAATAATTTATTGAGTAATCAATAAAAAAAACTTTACAAGAAGGATGTTTGTATATATATTTCAGCATGTGAATGTGATCCTGTGGGATCTACTTTGCCTCATTGTGATGACTCTGGACAATGTGAATGTAGGCCTAATGTTGAGGGTCGCCAATGTGATCGATGCAAAGAAAATAAATACAACAAAGATGCTGGGTGTATTGGTAATAAATTTTTCATTTTTGTCAGATGTTTTATAAAATTAATTATTTCCACTTGCATTTACAATTATTAACACACATTTTTTATCCTTTTGTTTTTACTTTCTCAGCTTCATCTCTCTCTTTGTTAATGTTTTCCCACTCTATGATTTTTAAAATTCTATTCATTTATAAAAAGACATCTTTACTTTGGTAGGTTTAGCAAACATTACATTTTGCTTATTACTTTTTAACATATATATATTTAAATATTTAAAACAGAAGCATAGTTATCTCTTATTTTTGCCAAAACCAAAATAATCTTACTTACATTTGTTAAAATAAGATATTTTGAAACAACAGATTAACAGCTCTGAAACTTGTTTATTTGATAGATTGTCCTCCTTGCTACAATTTGGTCCAGGATGCAGTAAACGAACACCGAGCTAAGCTTGATGAATTAGCCAAATTGTTGGATGAGATAAGAGAAAATCCTCAAGTTATAAATGATTTGGACTTTGAGAAAAAGTTAGAAGAAGTTGCAAAACGGGTTGATGACTTGTTAGATGATGCAAGAAGAGCTTCAGGTATTGATCAAAGAAATCAGAAATATTTGGTTCAAGTATATTTGAAGTGTAGTTTCTTTGAATAAGAAAAATAATTGGATGTATCAAATTCTATTATTTTCTCACTCATTATTTCTCAGTTAAATACATGCTGTTTTTGTTCAAAAGGATTTGGTTGGGTTTGTTTTGAATTTCATGCAAAGCTACATGAGGGTTATCTGTGCTAGCAGTCCCTAATTTAGCAGTGAAAGACTAGAGGGAAGGCAGCTAGTCATCACCACCCACTTCCAACTCATGGGTCTTGGGCTACCTTTTTATTACTGAATAGTGAAATTGAGTGTTACATTATAATGCCCAATGGCTGAAAGGGTGAGTATATTCAGTGGGATGGGGATTTCAACCCGTAACCTTCAGAATGTGAGTCGAGTGTTCAAAAGGAATTCCATCTGTATTCAAATAGTTTCATAAGTAAGGTGTGAGCATGTATTCATTAACAATATATATATATATATATATATATATATATATTGTAGTGGTGAACATTTACTATCTTTTAAGCAATATGACAATGTTATGTATGCACTTTGGAAATAAATCTACTTTGCGTAGGTGGAGATGGCAATCTGGTTGGCCAGTTGAATGAACTGAAGAATAGAATTGAGGATGTACAGAAAATAGCTGGAAAGGTTGCTGATAAAATTTATGATGCTGGAGGTATTAGTGAACAGGGAAGACGCAACATTACACTAGCAGAGGAAGCCATTAAACGTGCTCAAGATGCACTAGCAAATGCTCGACGTTACCTGGAAACTGAAGGACTGGATGCTCTAGAAAAGGCTAAGGAACGATCAGATAAGTTTGGTCAGCAGTCCCATCGTATGTCTGAAATAGCACGTGAAGCAAGACATAGAGCAGATGAGTAAGTAGGTAGATTTGATCAATAGTCCGACTACATCAGATGATGTAAGTTAAAAGGATAATCAGTTTGATTTTATATCTTACAAACAGACATGAAGTAACATATAGAATGTATCAGTAAGTTGTTGAATCTGATTAGCATTTTGACTATATGTTTACAGTTGTACTTGAGGTAGACTGATATTATATATTAGCTTTTAACTAAATAGGCATCAAGAGGAGGCAGTAGTGATAGAAAGATTAGCTGAAGAAGCCTTAAATACATCTACAGAAGCTTACCAGTTGGCAAAAGGTATGATTGACATGCAGGATGAGACTCGAGATGAAATCAGAAGATTGAGAAATCAGTATGTTATTTTTGTCTTTTCTTTCAAAATTAGAATAATTTTACATTTTTATCAATAATTTGATATTCAGTATTCTCTATATAGCTCAAAAATTGTTTTTTTCTAACTTTTCTAAATATTCATGCTATTAGTAGAGTGATCATTCAATCTGTTTAATGTTTTGATAATTCCTTATTTATGTATTTATGTAATTTACTTACTGCTATCTGTTACTTGTCTGATATACAACATTAAGGTGTTAAATCTTCTGCTACAGCCATTTTTACATATTTATGTATTTAATTATACAATGTGTAATATAAAGTATGGAATGATAGGCCACTAAAAGTAATGAATTTCTGTTAAAGAATACGTTTATATGTAGTCTCAGTATTGTTTGTTGAATATAATCCTTATTAATTTTAGGTTAGATGATACTGCTGATCTTCTCCAGGAGACAAAGGACATTGCTCAAGAGGCACAAGATGAATCCAACAAAGCATATGATGATGCTCTGGATATCTATACAGATGCTAGTTCTGTTACCATTCCAGATGTGGATGTTCCAAGAATGAAAGATAAAGCTCAATATATCATTGAGGAGGTATGTTTGTGTATAATAAAAAATATAGTTGTAGGCAGATCAGACCCATACACCATAGTTTAAAAACAAATGTGTAGATGAGAACAAGGTAATTAATTTGAAGTAAAACAAATTGTGGGTGTTGAGAAAAAAATATTAATGAGTCCAATAGTTGTTTATCTTATGCATTCACACATTGTCATTATAAACCTTATTGTATATGATGTGTTAATTAGAAAATGACTAGAAATACAGAAAAATATCAAAAATATAGAGATGCAGTAACTTAAAAATCCAAAGCAAAAATGTGGGCAGTGATTATTATCATTACCTTTAGAACTGAGAACTAATGCATGTTGCAGTGAATGATAATATCCATCGATTGTATGAAACTGAGATAAGGACAACAACTCAAGTGATTATTAAAAAACTAATTACAGTGAATTTCTTACATTATAGGTTGTATTATGTCTCTAACAATATGCCAAAATAGACAGTAATAAATAGTAAAAATTTTCAACAAATATATTCAATGTATTACCAAAATATTAGATCTTGGGAAGCATTATAATACAATATTTAATTTGGTTTCTGTATAGGAAAAATTTCAAATATGTATCTCCACTTAGTTATGAAATATTTAACTCTTTCTTATTATTTTATTTTCATAGTTTAATACACAAACCAAGTAAATTACTTTTAGCAAGATTATCATTCAATAAAAATTTACTAAAGATCAGATCTATGAGAAATCAGAAAAATAAATTTGAGTACAATATTATTGAACTTGTATATCCTGCATTGTTATAAAAGAATTCTAAATTATTTCCCAAACTTAAGATTTTCTTGTTACTCATATAAATACTTATAATACAGCAGGAAGCTTTCGTCTATAGCATGACACTTTCATCTAAAACTTTATAAACATTTGCATCCTAAAGTCAAAGTGAAGTAAGATACTGAAACAAGATCAAAATGATAAAGTAAACATACAGTGCTTTTGCTAATTTGGTTTTGTGTTATAGGCACGGAAGATTAGAGGAAATGCTGATGGACTTATTGAGGATAACCAGGAACTAATGGATAAGATTGAGGACCAAAAATCAGAAGCTGAAGAACTCCTGGCTGAAGGAATGAGACAACAGCAAGTAAAAACTATAGATCTGTTATTGATACTCATATCTTATATTCGGGCATAGTTATGTGATAGTAGTATGTACTTGAATTTAGTCAACTTTCAATACCAAACATTCTCTTTAGTAAGCCATTGTAATACAAAGGTTGAAGTAATAATTTTCATAACTGATTATTTAAAGGTCTCTATTTTTTGGCATCACTGAACATTACAAAAGTTTCGGATATTTGAGACAGTAAAGTTTCTCAGTAGTCTTTTTTTTTTTCCTTTCCATGATTTAAATTAGATAAAACCTTATATTCTTTCATTTCATAAACGAGTTGATTCATTATATCAACAGCTTGTTTACATCTATAACTTGTAATATTTATATGCAGTAGGAGGTTTGTGTTGGTGTAAAATTGTATTCTATGATAAACAACATGTTTACAGACATTCTAGACAAAATGAAGTTTAAAACAAAAAATAGTAGGAACGGAACTAGTTTGCATTAAAAGGTGTTACAGGTTTTTAAAAAATTGGTTTAATGATATTATTTTAACCTTTTGTGTTTTAAACTTGCTTTTGTTTAGGGTGTCAGTAAAGAGATTCTTAATGTTACTTATCCAGACTTGTAACTCATCCATTGTGTCCTATGATATTTTCCATTGATTGGGTATAAATGTAGAGTGGTTATTTTAAATTTCATGTATAAAACAAGCTTTTTCTTGGTTAATTCATAAATACTTAGTAAAGTATTTAAGAAGGTAAGAGAAATAAAAAAATCAATTTTCAAAATTTTTTAAACTAGCACCGATTCAAATAAAAGATTCTGTTACAAAAAATAGGAAGGTAACTGAAACATCTCAAAGGAGACATACAAATCGTAAGAAATATGATAAATATACATTTGCACATGTGGTTATATCTTTTCCAGATATAGAAAGAATGATAATAAACTTGATGAAAATGAATAAAGTAATTCGAAAGATGTTTTTCAAAAAATTAATGTCTTAGTACCAGACTAAGTAAATGGTGAAAATTTACAAGTTATTTAGATTTTAATCAAATAATTTTAATATTAGAATTTTTTTCAGTTGTGAATATGGTTGAGACAAATGTTATATATTTTCTTATATAAAAATTCCATGTATTTAAGTGTTATAAATGAATTTGAAAAGTAAAATCGACTTTGATTGTTTCAGATTGGAGACGAAATGCTAGCTGATACAGATGCTGCACTGGCCAAGGCTAAGGAAGCTGTAGCATCTGGTGATAGAACATTGGAAGAAGCCAATAATACTCTAGATACTTTGAAAAGTAAATCTTGTATTTTTTTCTTGAAATGTACTCAGGAATTCCAAACCACTATAGCTTTAATTTAGTAAGAAGGTTTTTCTTATTAGCAGAAATGAAGCATCAATATGTAGTAGTGGTTAAGATTACAGACATGGGCATCCACAGGATATATTATAGAGGTGGAAGCAAGATGACAAAATGATATCTAAGCTATAACTATTGGGGGGGGGGAAGGGGCCCCCCTTGCTCCCTTTTGCGGATGTCCATGATTAGTTTTAAAACACCTAATTGAACATCAAATCTAGCATGTTATTCAAAGAACGAAAATGAAGCATTTCCTAAATTTTTCTTAATATATTTTACTATAACAAACGTGTATATGGTTGCAGTCTATTTCAGACAAGATTAATTATAGGCTTTCATGGTTATGGTTAATTATAACGAGTAAATGAGTAAAAAGAACAAAAATGATTAATTTTGGCTTAAGTGTGTAATATTGTTATGTGTGTAATAATATTTTTCCAAGGATCCCACAGGATATTTGGCTTCAGCTTGTCAAAAGAAAAAAGTTATAGAGGCATGAGCTACTTGAGAATTATATTTAACCAATTAATTTCTATACATATCAGACATATGAGGATTTGTCTTGTGATCAAACAGTAAGTGCTGGGTCATTCAGGTTACACTTTTATATGATGATCTTTTAGAGGGAGCATTGCATTCTTACAGTTCATGAAATTTCATTTTACCATGAAGTACAAATACCACAAACAGCATGGGCGGGCAGCCTATCAGATTTGTCACGTTTAAAATTGGAGAGTTGATAGGATCTGACATATTTCAAAATCATTCTATCATTCCTGATGTGACTGGAGTTTGATGAGATGTAGGCCATTCCATTTAGCCATTTGTTTCTGTTTCAAAGATAAAAATAACATGATAAAGGTTAAAATTCTTATTCATTAGGCTAAAGTCAGGGCCAGTCAATTAAAAAATAACAGCATAAAAGAATGTAGAGTGTGGTTCTTAAGGTATGAGACATTAATGGTACCATTTTACAAGGTATATAAATTGTCATTTTCACTTCCAGACATGTTTATTCCTATCCATACCATACTTTTACTGCCACAATTGCAGTACTGTTAAGGTAGTTAAGGCACTGGTGGGCCTTGGGTGAAGTATAAATTAGTACCAATTTCTTTGAAGGAAATATTATACAATTTGATAAACTGAATGTATGCATAGAAAATAAAAAAAAAAAAAAAAAAAAAA